AAATGCAATAAAAACAGACTGGAACACAACAAATTGGTAGTCCTTGAAAGAGAATGCAAATGATCTATGATACACAGACAGGGTACGGGTATGAGTACGGGACACAGCAAATTTGTAAAAAGTGGGACACAGAAACACGGCTACATGCTATATACCGAAATTAATAACTTGCATGAGATCAATACTGTTTTTTCATTCACATGTTACGAGGATTAAATTTCCTTCAACATTTTTATGTTCCTTTTATTATCCAACTCATAAATTAGAGAAACACTCATTTTTCAATTGATTCCCAAAAGACCTTTCAAATTATATTGTCCAATAAGTTTGGAGAAGTGGACATGTAGAATATACATCACAGAAGTCTATGACGAGTGTTTAAATTTAACACATGTATTATATAATTCAGTACATGTAAACATATATGTATGCATATATACAATGAGAGACTGAGGAAGTGTCAGTGTCCAGTACAGTTACAGTATGTGTCGGGTATGGCTACGGCTTCATGATAGAAGTACCATGCAAACTAGGCAATGATTTAAAGAACCTAAAATTTCCCGACGTCCGGTTTTGAGCTTTAGAGTGTTTAAAGTTCTTATGTTCAATGATATTTACTTATTTTTTGGGGTCCATATTTACTTCTTAACACCAAATTTGTCATGTCCAGCAACTGCAAGAAATATCCTTATCAAAGCTCCTATAGCTCAAAAAGAGAGAAATATCTCTTGATAACCACTTTAAGAAAATTGGTACCAACACTTGCCAGCCAACATGCCAATTAGAGCCTCCCCGGAAGAAGAAAGAGATCTAGCTGGATTTCGTTACAAAACATAGCAAAAAAAGTTGCACAAGGAACTAGCCAATTAGGGAATATAATATCACATCAACCGACACAATAACTAGGAATAACTAGGAATGGACATAATAGAAAGCTGCACTTACAGATAAGAAGCGGTTCATCCCAGATACCAATGACTGGGGAGCATTGGCTATACAGTCGATAGATGGTTTCCCCTCGTACACAATCACTTTGTCAGCCAGGTAAGTCGCCATAATGAAATCATGCTCAACAACAAAGGCAGTTTTCTTTGCATGAAGTATAAATCTTTTAATGACCTTTGAGGCAACAATACGCTGCTCGGAGTCCAGGTAAGCGCTAGGTTCATCTATAAGATAGATATCTGCAGGCTGCGCATATATTTCTAATAGTCAGAGCAACAGCAATAGAGAAACCAGATGACATTTTCAATAATTTTCAGGTTAAGTATTTTCCCCTTATTAAGCATGAAAAAAGATCAACTTTCTGGATCTGCCTTATTGCTTATCTAAAAGAAATAAGGCAAGCATCACCCAAACTCATCATTTCATCTATTAGCATCAAGCATAGAGACATAACAAGGCGTAAGATAAACGAGAATGCATGTCAAAGTACAAGTTCAAGATCTAATACAAATGATTCCCCTGAAGAGATTAGTTTGTTTTCTCATAATATGATACTGAACAAAGAAGATTCTTCTTATAAACTGACATGCAGAAGAATGACAAAAAGCAAAAATATAATGCTGATGATGATGATGACATAACAGTGACGACTGAGGACAACACAACCCCATGTTGATGATCGAATCAGAAATACAAGCAACCTCTGGACAATTCCAACAAAGGATGTCATGATGTTCAATTACAAAGTTGAAATATGCTAAGCATTTGGCTATTATGCAGTTATGGAGTCTAATAAAAGATCAACATCCTAATCTTAATTCATGTGCAGATACCCCTCAAAAAAATACTTCAAGAATTTACCTGTAAACTTCATGAAATATATTGATCATTGACTCATAAGCAAGGTAAAGGATTGTTGTAAATACAAGATTCCAAGATCCATGCAAGATATCTTGATCTAAATATATAACTCATATATGGAGTTCTAACAAAGCCGGAAAATCTTTTTGAATGTTAACTGAAAGGGATGAAAATCAAGATGAACATACTATCTAGGTAACAAGTTTATTCAGCATATTGCAGAGAAACACTAAACATTACTAGAAGTCAACAAGATAATGAAGAACGAAAAAAAGGTGTTACAAATGAGGAAGTAAAAAGATCATACCTTTCCAAGACACAGACACAAAGCAACTCTTTGCAGTTCTCCACCAGAAAGGTTCACAACTTCTTGGTCCATTAGTTGCTCAATTTGTAAGGGTTTCATAACATCAGATACGAACTGAGGATGCATATATGAATCCCTAATTTTTTGATGCAGCAAGTGCCTCACAGAATTTGGAAATTTCGGGCTGATTTTCTGAGGCTTATAGGAAACATTGAACTCGGGTATCTCAATGTCCGTACCTTCTACCACATCGGGCTTCAGCAGTCCAGCCTGTAGTCACAAGTAGTAGGGAAAATATAAACACACGAAACTTGGCATGAAATTAGAGTGTAAAATATATGATGCAAGTGCAAGGTGCTCTGAAATGCAACATTGACAATAAAATGCGTAGAAAAAACAATGTTCCTAACTAAACCAGACATTGCAGTGCATGCATAAAATGATATTTGTTCCCTCATGGACCAAAGTCAAACATGACATAGTTGACCCTAACATCAGCATTCAAACAAATAGTCATAGTTTAGTATAGATAAAAGAAAAGTAAGTTTGATCCCCCTTGAATACCAAATGTAATAATGCTATAAATATCAAAATAATATGCTCTAATGCAAGTCGCTTTCCCCATCTAAAAATTGGGATGTCCATCATGTTCAGATGGGACTCGTGTCCATCCCTGCTCAAAACTTGCTGATTTAGTGACGTGTAATCCCTTACAAACCTAAAAACATGTAGTAAATGAACAATTATGACCCCTTTTGGAAAGATAATTGTTTATAAGCCATTCTACTATAGGTTTTGTTCATAGAAGAGTAATAACACGATAATTATACCTATATGAGCTGAAGTACATATGCAAAAAATAAGCATATATAACAGTGCCACTGAACTTCTGGAGAATTGCCATGTCCAACATCCAATGTTCTCAACAGAGTGTGATCACACATACAGGAGAGTATATGCATAATAACAGAAGTTGAGGAAAGGTAAAACATCATACCAGCATGCGAATAAATGTTGTTTTCCCTGTCCCATTCTCTCCCAACATTACAACAATTTGAGAATCAGTGAATTCACCCTCCATGACAGAGAGCTTGAAATTACCCTGGGTTTTACTCATAGTAGGGTACTTATAACGCTGATATGTCTCAATCTCCTCAGCACTTTCCTGAGGAGTTTCAGCAACCTGTAAAAAGGAGATCAAGAAATGAAGAAAATCAGTCCACTAGACAAGACTTTGTGGCATATTTTTGTTGATCATTGATAGGCTGTTACCTTAAATGTAAGTGAATCTTCACGGAACCTTAAATTCTCTGTAGGTACGAAACCAGCCAAGAAAATGTTAATTCCTTCCCTAACTGAGAAAGGTAATGTAACAACTCCATATGCTCCCGGTTTCCCATACAAGCAACAAATAAAATCTGATAAGTAATCAAGGACACTAAGATCATGCTCCACAACAATCACATAACTGCAATTTAAGGAAACAAGAAAAGAAAGAGTTATTAATTTCAATTGCAAAATAGCAAACAAAAAAATAACAAGACATTTCCAGCAAAGAATCCACAAGGACCTGCTGATCAAATAACTGCACATAGAGAAAACAAAGTGAAGAATTACTATTTCAGTTGGAAAGTAACCAAAAGAAAGGAAAGATGTAGTCTCCAATATAAAATCAACTAGGACCTGTTGGGCCTCAGCAAGGACCGAATGACTTGAGCAGCTTTCAGTCTCTGTTTCACATCAAGGTAACTCGATGGCTCGTCAAACATATAAATCTCTGCATTCTGTACAGCAACCACAGCAATCGCAAACCTTTGCAACTCTCCCCCTGACAAATCTCCAACATTCCGATCAATAACCTGATTCAACTCAAGGTCAACACAGAGTTCAGCCTTCATATCTCTCTCGTCTTTTTGGTCAAGCACCTGTCCTACATTTCCTTGAACAGCCTTGGGGATGTGGTCAACATATTGTGGTTTGATAATAGCCTGAGTTGCCAAAGTAACATAATTTCTTCAGAACATAGCAATTGAAGGAAAAAAAATCCAAGGATTGAAAAAAGAAATATACAGGGGGGAAATGAACACAAGAATTTGAATTCAGTAAAGTGTTATTTAAATTTTGAAATTGGAAAAAAGGTTAATGAAACAGCAATAACTATATTTTTTTAACCGTAAGGAATTGACCATCATAATGTAACTACAGAAGTCCTCTGCATTATCATGAAGGCAACCGCGAAAACATGTAACTTGCATGCCGCGTGTTTCAAATAAGCACCCATGCCCTTCTATCCACTCAAGAAAAGAATGAATAAGCATACTCAAGTTGCGATAGCAAATAACTGAGTAGAGCTTGAACAGTTAGCAATACAAGCTTGTAATTTTTTCACAATAATAAATCCAACGCGCATTAATAATATAAACTTCCCCTCCATCCTTTCATTCTTCACTGGGGTGCCCATGCCATCATGAAAAATCATTTAAAGTTAGAAGTGTAAAAGCATGTTCGACAAGTGGTCAAAGTGGCTTCTTAGACATGTTTGGTAAATAATGGATTGTTTTCGGTTATAAGCCACCAAAAAATAAACTAGGGTATCTTAGCTTTTTTTTGGTGGCTTATAAGCCACAAGATTTCACCAAGTAAAAGACCAATACACCCTTCACCATGTCACAAAATTCCAAGCCCCATTTATCTCTCTCCAACCCCATTAAATGTTTCTTGGTCATTTGACAACAATAATGGCTTATATGCCACCCATTTGTCAAACACTCTACTATTAAAAATGGATTATGATCCACTAAATTTACCAAACACTTTGCTTTATAAATCACACTTGGCTTATGATCCATTTGTGAATTAAAAGCCAAGTGGATTATAATCCAAAGTTGCAAAACGTGCTCTAAAAATAATACAATGCAAGCTAGCAGGATATGGCACTGATACTAGCAGCCACAACAGAAAACCAAATAAAAATTAGCAAATAACCACAAAAAGATATATATGGAGATCAGTTATGTACATGAAAAATTAACATGATTGGTTGTACCAATAGCTCATTTCATGGTTTCACTGCATTTTATGTTGACTGGTGAAGCCAGAAATTGCTCTGCTAATACTACTATTGATGACTCAATTTAGTTGCAAGAGTCAACACGGGAGTGTTTCAGAGAGCAAGTTATAGCAAATTCTAAGCAAACTAGTTAAAAAATTTAACCGTAAGATATAGAAAAGAGCCAGACAGTAGATTCAGTTCCATTCATTTCAAAATGGCTTAATTACCAGCAATGTTATCGATAGTGGATAGTGTCGCGTAGCGGTGAGGCATCGCTAAGGCTATTTGGGGCTATTGCGGCAAAATAGCAGTAAAAAGCACAAAATCAAATAGCGGTCTAATTTAGATATGTGTAAATACTAAAAAAAAGATTAAAGAAAAATCTAGAAAATCTAAAAGTGCATATTTGATGATTTAAAGAGATCCTAAACATGAAATAGACATGTAATCGTCACATAATACCAAAGACGACTAGAGGAGAAGTCAAAGAGTCATCGTCTTCGTTTCAAGAAGATGAGCTGAGCGGTGAGAGGACTGTCTTAGGAGGAGCTCACGGTGAAAGAGGTGAGAGGAAGTGCTGAGTTAGGTACCAGAGGCTATGAGAGGCGGCGAGAGCACGTAAAGATTAAAGAAAAATCTAGAAAATCTAAAAGTGCATATTTGATGATTTAAAGAGATCCTAAACATGAAAATTTACCAGGCAGCAATAAAAAAATGATTTGCAGGATCTATTACAGGTGGAAGTAAAAGGGAGCTAAAGGACAACAGATAACTGTTGATGAACACAGAGCAACAAAAGCAGTTTTCCAAATAAAGGACTATCCAGGGATTTTCATAAAACCTAAGTTCAGGTATACGAACTACATGTAGTTTTCAAGAATATCCTAATTAACCATGCTAATAGCTGCTCATGTGGCCAAGTTTTACTTATCCGTAAAACAACTGCATAGCCTCTCGAAGCCCTACATTCAGATTATCCATGAAAAAGATAGTAAATACTATAAAATAGTATGGTATTATTAGGCTTCATTTTGCTTAACATCCCAAATGATAAAATCAATTCTAACCTTGAGATTGTCCTCCAATATACGAGTAAAATAGTTCTGAAGCTCGGATCCTCTGAAGTATGTCAGAATTTCCTGCCAGTCTGGTGGATTCTGCAAAAAAGGACATAAAGTTAATAAACTACGCAATACACAATAAAGATCAATATACATGAAAAAGTTCCATGACAGATGTTACGTTGAATCTGCCCAAGTTGGGTTTCAACTTTCCAGCCAATACTTTAAGGGCAGTTGACTTTCCAATACCATTTGTTCCAACCAGACCAAGAACTTGCCCAGGCCTTGGGACTGGCAACCTGTAAATATAATCACAGGGAATGTAATTAAGGCTAAAAGCCAATGACAGAGCTACAAAATTCTTAGGAAACATATATGTTTTCTGCTCACCTATGCAACTTGAAGGTGTTAGGTCCATAACGATGAGTTGTATCTTTATCCAAGTCCTTGGGCAGATTAATAATCTGAATGGCCTCAAATGGGCATTTCTGTATAACATTCCGATACAAAAGTAGCTTAAGGTTAACCAATGTATACCGACAATAACAAACTCGAAAAACTAGTCATGACAGTACAAACCTTGACACAAATACCACATCCAATACATAATTCCTCAGAAATGAAAGCAATCTTCGCTGCTGGAGTGACTTCTATACAAAGCTTACCTACAAAATAAAGCATGATTAGGCAAATCAAAAATGAATTAACAAATATTCACGCTAAATTTGATTCAGAAAAAATATACCCAAAAGGAGTCAGTTTTCGAGAATTTGGAAAACAAGGTAAATATCTGCAACGTATTAAGCATATCAAGGATTATTTTCACATGAGGCACTAATCGATGATGGAACTGTGGCAAACCTAATCATGAAAATCCAAATTAAAAACAACAAATTCTGTTAATCCCGTCACAGTTATTGGTTAAAAACAAGCCTATAGTAACAATCGACTCTTTAAGACTATGAAAACGGCTGATTAGAAATTAAACAAACAAATAGTGGCTAAAAAAACTTTAAAACTGCAGAGTTACCAAAAAAATCCTATGATAACGATCAAAATTACTAAAACCAAGATCTTGATGATCAATCTATCCAAAAAAAACACGATCTTTTTAATATTAAAAAGATGATTCACCTGTTTTCACTACGGGACAGCTCTTTTTACACTCCTGGCGACACTTTTTGGGCTTGCAGCGATCGGAGCTGACGATAGCGATCCTAGTCAATCGATCTGCCATCTCTCCGATCCGAAGACGAACAGATCGATTCGATAAAACCCTACAAACGGTTCAGAACAGAATTCTGCAAAGAATTCCAAGGGAAATCGAGGAAGAGTTAGAATTGGCAGTGGAAAATCGATGGTGGATTTGAGGGGGAGGAGATTTGGGGGAATTTACCGCTAGCTGCTGCTGGCAAAGGAAAGGAAACCCTAGGCATAAAAGAGGAGGAGGTTTTAAGCAGCGTGGTTTCCACGCGTGCCGGTAATTTGCAACGCCGGGTGAGGTTGGGCTTCCTGATCTTACCCGGATTATTGCAGAACCGACCCGGTCCAGTTTTGGATCGATTAAATGGTGATTAATAGATGAAAATTTTGTATCAAGACCCCAAAAATCAAAAGTTCATGTGTCCCGGGCCCTGCTATTATTTTCCTTGTATAAAAAAGCCCTAAAAACATTGTAATTTTGTATTTAGCTCCCTATACATTTGCTAACTCAACGGTGAACGATAAAACTCAAAAATACTCCTCTACAATTATCCTCTCTCTCCCCCTCTTTCTCTCATTCTCTCTCTATAAACCATGGCCAGATCTCTCCTCTCTCCCAACTTAATCCTCTCTTTCTATCTCTCTTCTCTCCCTCCATCTCTCTACAATGGAGTACACAAACTATAATCAGATCTCTCCTCTCTCTTCCCTCTTCCAACTCTACCCTCTCCTTTTCTCCTCCTCACTCAACTCTCTCCCTCATATCTATTCCTTCCCTCCTTCCCCGCCCCCCTCCCAACCCCCAACCCCAAGAAAAAAAAATTTAACCTTCTGCTTCTTTCATCATCACTCCACTCCACTCCCCTCTTCTCTCCCATTTCTCTAAATCCCCATCACTAATTTCACCTTCAAATTAACCTTGCTCATGTCCTCAAACCATAGCCTCCTCATGTGTAATGACCGTAAATTTCTAATACGTGTTTAAATAATTTTCTCGTATTTAAATATTAAAATTATTTTTCTAAAAGAGTATTTGTATTTTTCTAATTTCTCTAGAATTTTCTATGATTTAAAAATATGATATTATATTATTTTAATAGTTTTGCTAATTATAAATTTAATTATTTCGATAAAACTTTTTAAATTAATAGTTAATTATTCATTATTGTTATCGTTATTGTTATTTTGCTATAAATTTTTAATATTTATTTGAATAAATTTTCTGATATTTTAAATTATTTAAATGGGTATTTTTCCCTGTGTTTTCCCTGCGGTATTTCACTCTGTATCTCTCTCTTCATCTCTCTCATTCTCATACTCTCTGCAGAGAAAGCTCATTTGGAGAGACCGATTTCGTGGGATACCTTCACAGACCATTTCAACAGGAAGTACTTTCCTCAGTCAGCTCGGGACAAGCTTTTGCGAAGATTTGTGGAGCTCAAGCAAGGAGGGCGAACAGTTGATGAGTACGAGGCTGAGTTTTCTTCTTTGAGCCGATATGCTCCCCACCTGGTTACAGACCCGATGATTAGGAGGCATCAGTTCCAGAAGGGTCTGGATAAGTATATCAGGTTTGCTCTAGCTGGTAGAGCACTTTCGACCCACGACGCCGTGTTAGATGCAGCACGCGAGATCGAGAGCGTTCAGAAGGAACCTGAAGACCCGCACGTGATTCAGAGCAGGACACCAGCAGCTCCGGCTCGGAATGTCGAGCGTCCCCCTCCGAGACAGCAGCAGCAGAACCCACAGAGGCAGCATCAGCATCCTGGAGTGCATTCTCAGAGACAGTCTTCGGTGAGGTGTTCTTATTGTAGATACCCTGGGCATACCGAGCAGGAGTGTCGCAGACGTCATCATCTGTGCTATGCTTGTGGATCCTCCGACCATATTAGTCGAGACTGTCCACAGCGACAGCATGCCCGCTTGCCCCCACCTCCAGTTCGAGCGGCTCTTCCAGCTCCACCTCGATCAGACTCAGCAGCTCCAGCCTAACATGGACCTTATCCTCGAGCAGGGCCTCTTCCTCAACAACAGCAGATCTATCAGGAAGCGCGAAGGCAGCAACCACCTCGGCGACAGATGTTCACGATGTCAGCTGTGGAAGCAGAGGAGAACAACCAAGTTATCACCGGTAAGAATAGTTCATTCTTAGTTTTATTTGCGTGTGAACTTCCTTATTTCGTATTGCCTGATGATATTCAACACTAGATAAGGTTCTTGTTTCTTCCGTTATTGCCTTATCACCCCTTGACTCTGGAGCTTCTCATTATTTCTTGTCTCATTGATTTACGAGTACTAACTATCGTTCCATATCTGTCCTTGGGTTTAATTCCGAGGACGGAATTTGTTTTAAGGGGGGTAGGATGTAACAACCGAAAATTTTGATACATATTTAAATAAAATTTTCTAGTATTTAAAATATTATATTATATTTTATTAATACTTTTCCTAATTTCTGGAATATTCTGAGTTTTCAAAATAAATGAATAATAAAATATATAGTCTTGTATTTTAATTCTGCTAAATTGGAATATTCTGAGTTTTCAAAATAAATGAATAATAAAATATATAGTCTTGTATTTTAATTCTGCTAAATATTAATTTACGGTTTAGTGATTTTTATATTAGTCTTGTATTTTAATTCTGCTAAATATTAATTTACGGTTTAGTGATTTTTATATATAATCATTTGGTAATTAATATTATTAATGACCTTGTTATTATTGATGTAAAGTTGAGTATAGTACAATAGTATATAAATATTAATAAAAAGATTTTTTGGTTGATTATTAATTATTAATATAATTCAAAATATTATGTGGAAATTTCGAATTTTCCCTCTCTTATTTTCCTCTAATTTGAATTTGAATTCCTTCCATATTTTTCCCTAATTTATTTCTCAATCACTCCCCATCTTTTGATTTCTTTCCAAACCAACCCCCCAAATCAGTGCATATCCTTCTCTCTCTCCCCTTCCATAAAATAAACATTCTTTCTTTTCTCTCCCGTACACCCTCTCTCTCTCTCCATCAGTACACCCCCAAAAAGAAAAACCCATCTTTTCTTTCTTCTTCTTCCTCCCAGCACCGAACCCCCTCCTCTTCCACCACCACCCCCTCTCCCGTACACCCTCTCTCTCTCTCCATCAGTACACCCCCAAAAAGAAAAACCCATCTTTTCTTTCTTCTTCTTCCTCCCAGCACCGAACCCCCTCCTCTTCCACCACCACCCCGACGAACCCGGACCACCGCCGCCTCCGCTTGATCCGCCGCCGCGACCACCCCGCGCTC